TAGCAGATGGGGTCAGGAGGCTCGGGATGGGGCGCCCCACCCACTCAGGACACCACAGAGAGCACCCAGGTTGTTCCGGGCTCGGCCTGTGCAACCACCATGGCAGTCCTGCCCTGACACCCAACCTCAGAGCCCTCGGCCCTTCCCATGCCTGGGGATGGAAGCGCAGACAAAGCAGCCTCGCTCACAGGGCTTGCATCCCTGCCTCTGTCACGTCCGGGAGGCAGGCGTCCTAGGCGCTCACCTTGCTGCGGTACCAGGACTCGGCCTCGGCCCGACTGCGGCTGGCGACATCATCATACTGAGCCTTGATCTCGGCAACGACACAGTCCATGTTGAGGTCGCGGCTGTTGTCCATCTTGACCACGACTGAGGTGTCTGAGATGTGGGCATGGAGCACTCGGATCTCCTGCGGGGCCAACAGCCAGTGTGCTTGGTTCTGGTGCCTGATCTGGGCCATGTGCCACACCCGTGGGGGCAGTGCTCACTTCCTGGAGGGAGCACTGGTCATGGATGCTACGTGGCTCCTGCTCGACCACCTTCATTCACACAGGGGCACGTTTTAAAACAGCAAACCTGGAGAGGCCCTAGTGGTTATTTGGGGATGGTCCCTGACTTAACAGATGGGAATGCTGAGACCCAGAGTGTGAAATAGACCTGACCCAATGTCACTCAGCAGGGGAACTGGGTTTGGATGCTGGGACAAGTGATCAGGCCACTACCTAACACCCCTCCCTGTATGAGAATCTGCCTGATTCTTCACCACACACACACACACGTTCACATCCATCCACAGATGGCCACTCACACAGTCAGCACAGGGGCACACAAGGCCCAACACACGGAAGACAGAGAGAAGCCCCAGCACGGTCCATGCCGTAATCCTCTCACACACAGATACAGACATTGCCAGGGCCACATGACATGCCCTGTGTTGTGTGCCCCCATGTGTGTGCATGTCTTTTCTCTTACATCACTCACTGGCAAACACGTGCACACGTGTGCACTCTCACACTGCCCCCCCAGTCTCCCTACCTCCCTCCACCTGCCCTGGCAGAAGCCCCCTCACCTCTTCATAGAGGCGCCTCAGGAAGCTAGACTCCTCCACCAGGGCCTCCACGTTGGCCTCCAGGTCTGACTTGCGCAGGTAGGCACAGTCCACGTCCTGGAGTGGAACCAAGAAGGAGGTCCTACATGTAGCAGGAGGCCCAGGAAGGTGCATCTGGCCAGTATTGAGACCGCACCGTGCACTAGGGCTTGACAATGGGTCCTCCTCCCTCCCTGCCCTGCAGCCAGCCCCCTCACCTTCTTTAGAACCACGAACTCATTCTCTGCAGTGGCTCTCAGAGCCACCTCCTCTTCATACCTGAATGTGGGAGAAAGGTGGGCTGGAAATGAGGGATCGGGGCTTGAATACCACCCCAGCACTTAGCCAGTTCTTCCAGGGGTTAAGAGGAGATGAACACCCTCCAGGTGTTGTCTTGTCTCTCCATGGTCTCTTGTGTGTGTCATTCACAGAGTAGCCCTTGTTCCAGCCTGGTTTGGTTCCCCCATCCCCACCCCCACCCCCATCCTTCTGCATCGGGATGAGCTCAGGAAGCCACAGTCCATTACCAGGATGAAAGCCATCTGTGCATCTTAAATCCAGAGAGCTTGCGCCACTGGCAGGGAGAACACAGAGCCCATGTGAACTGCACACTGCGAGGGGGGCACAGAGCTCTGCAGAGCTTTGGGGGCCCTTTCCTCACCTCTGTAGAAGCTAGTGCTAAGACTCACAGGCCCTGAGAGGTGGAACCAAGGAACTGGAAGAGACCTAGGCTCTGCTGGACACCCCTTTGGGTCCCAGGCAGCCCTGTTAAAGGAATCTTAAAGGGGCTGCTGCAAGAAGCTATGGGAAGAACCTTGAGTACCTCCTGATTTCCCCCAGGCATGCCACACTCACTTCTTCTTGTAACCCTCCAGCACCTCCTGCACGTGGTTGAGCTCCGAGGCCAGCCTCCCACTGTCGGCCTCCACGCACTCAGCCTCCCGCCTCAGCGTCTCGATGTAGCCCTCAAACAGCGGCTCCCGGTTGCTCTCGCAGCACTTGCGGTTCTGGTAGAACTGCCACTTGGTCTCCAGCAGCTTGTTCTGCTGCTCCAGGAAGCGCACCTGCCATTGGGGGGTGAAGGGAAGAGACTCAGGAGCAACCCGGGGACTCCTCAGAGGTCTCTGTGCCCTTGGGTGCTGGCCATGAGGCTGAGGGTCTGGTGCTTGAGGGACTCCATTCCCAGGCCTCGGGGTTAACTGTGGTGTGAGGGAGGCAACCTGGTCTTGAAGCCAAGGTCAGTGCAAGTCCTAGTTCTGTTACAGTGAGTGGGCAGAGCTGTTTAACCTCTTGGTGCTCAGTCTGCTCATTTCGAACAGGAAGAGAACAGTGCCTCCCTTAGAGTTGTGGCGGCCAGGCACGCTGATGCATGCAAAGTGCTCAGAATAGCATCTGACACAAAGTCAGTCTGTCAATTTAATTATTATAATTGTCAGTTGTCCTTCATTTGTTTGTTTCTGCAACAAGTACACTTGAATATTTACTACGTGGTGCCAGGGCTTGTGCACACATGTGTGTGTGCTTGCATGCATGCGTACACACATCTGTCTCTGTCTCTACGCCTAACCCTGTACCTGGATCTATAGCACCTGTCTATCAGTTTCATGCAAGAATCACAGCCCTGTAAGGCTCTTCCTTCCCACACAATACAGGTGTGAAGCAAGGAAGCGAGGGACTCAGGATCTGATGTCCCTCCAGTCCTCATTCACTGTCTTTGCCTATCCACCACAGCAGGTCTGAGCAGCTCATTTAAACACTCCCAGCCCCAGCTGATTATCTGAAAAATGGAGATAATGATACCTACCCCCTTTGGAGAATGAACTAAGATCACTAAAGAGAACATGACTCCCCCAGAGTCCTGGTCCAAGGCCCCTGAGTCTGGCTCTTCCACTATGCTAGAACGAGGCCTGTGGACAGGGAGGAACCGTGGTGAAGGAGGCTCCCTCCTCTCTGCTCCGACCTTGGGAGCGGCGTCATAGCTGTGTGGTGTTCCCACATTCTGCTGCGTCAAGGGTCTCCCCTGCCCTCTATGCCTGCAGAGGCTGCCAGCCTGGGTTGGCTAACCGTCCTGCTCCTCACCCACGACTGGCCTCGGAAAGCCAGCATTTACTGGGTGCTTACTGTGTGCCGACTTACTAATCCTCACAAGCAGGTGAGGCAGGCCGTTACCCAGACGAGTAACCTGCTGGGGACCTCACACTGCGGAGTGGCACACAAGGACCTGGCGGAGGCCAGGAGGCTCTGTGGCAGCCCCACCACCTCCTGTGCTCCCCAGGCCATGAACCACAATGCCCATTCTTCTCCCCACCAACTCCTGCTGTTCTGGCTCCCAGGGGCCATAACCCTGTCTCGGCTCTAGAAACACACATACTTTAGGCCAGAGACTAGGACCACACCTGGACCTCAGCAAATGTGGCTTCAATTGAATGACGAAAAGGGATTCTTCCTCCTATACTGGTGCATTGCTTTCCTTCTGCTTTCTCAACCTGGCAGCCATCCTCTCTGGATCCCGACCTTCCCAGGGTAGGGCAGCGCTGAGGTCTCTGCACCACCACAGGCCCCACTGACCTTGTCTATGAAGGCCGCAAACTTGCTGTTGAGACACTTGATCTGCTCCTTCTCCTCATGCTTCACGCACTGGGCACTGGGGTCGATCTCCAGGTTGAGGGGCGCCAGGAGGCTCTCGTTGACGGACACGGTGGTGATGCAGGGGGGGCTGGGCCCGCACACACCGCCGGAGCGGTAGCCGAAGCTGCGTCCACAGGAGCCAGCGCGGAAGCCTCCACAGACGCTGTGGCTGGGGGAGCCCAGGTTACAGAGGCTGCGGCTGCTGAAGCCCGTCAGCCCCCGGTAGCAAGACACCCCCCGATAGGGGGCAGCGCTGATGCAGCAGCGGTTGCCAGTTTTGGGGGCCACAGCGGAGCAGGAGCTGAAGTTCCTGGTGACCGCGCATCCTGGACTGATCCGGTAGGAGCGGCAGGACATCGTGCAGGTCTGAGCAGAGTCTGAGAGGCTGTGGGAGTCCGTGTGGGCAGCAGAGTGCGAGGCAGAGGATCTCTGGTCTCTCTGATCCTCCCGGTCCTTTTATTGGTGGGGAAAGCTGGGGCTGGTTGCATAAAAGGAGTGAAAAGCCATTTTATGTTGTTTATTGGCTTGGGGAGGTTGCCAGCAACTCCCCGAAGACTCGTCTTAAAGGTGAGGTGCAGCCACTCCGGGCTGCGTAAAAGTATTGAAGATGTTATTAGGGATGTGTGTTTGCACTTTTCATCTTCAAAGCTCGTTTACATACATTAAGTAATTAATTTTCTCACCCTCTCTGTGAGATGGCTTCAACCCACATTTGGAGATGGATTTGAACTCCACAACAGTCTGGTGGGGGGTGGCTGGGCTTGGGGTATAGGCAGGGGGTGGGGGATTAGCTCAGGGGAGAAGTTCTAGGGTCCCATGCTGGGGAGGCCACCACCTCTATCCACCTGGCTCCAGGCAGGACACATTCTCCAGTAAAGCATTGTGTTTCAGGGGCCGGTACAACAACTGAGTCCAAGTTCACACAGGCAGCATTACCATGAGGGGTGGGTCAGGACCAGATGGCTGGAGCAGATGGGCCCTTGGAACCTTCTGGATTCCAGCCCAGACGTCTGTGCTCCAGAGCTTTTATTTCTTACCAGTGAAAGTGCAAACCACTTGACTTTCAGCGGCCACAGTAATGACCACCTGTGGGTAATGGGGCGATTCCCCTTCTGTCACTTTCTTCCAGTCGGCCCAAAGGACTGGAGAGCCAGTTTGGGGATAGCCTGGTGGCTGCACACTTGCCTGGGCACCTTTGCTCTTTAAGAAGAAGCATGTCCTGTGACTCTCTGTGCCTTCCCGGACCACCAGGCAGAGGTGGTGCCCACTCTGCCACCCCCAGAATTGTTATTCCCAGAGGATGTCTGGAGACTTCTCTGCACAGGGATGGGAGTGAGATGGTGGCTGCTTCTTGTCTGAGGAGCCTCGTCCTTCTAAATCCCAGCTTCCTTATGTGTCCTTGGGCCACTTATTAGGAAATGATTGCTATTCTTTTCATGATTATTGAGCACACACCTTGAGGATGTGGGTCTCTGCCCTCAGGAAGGTTGCCAGCCACCGGAGGTGTTAGGAACTCAAGGAAACTGATGAGCTTCTCCACAGGGCAGGTCCTCCTCCAGAGAGCTTTCCAGAATGAAATGCCATTGCGCTGTTATTCCCAAGGCCTCTGTAAGATGTTCTAAATCTGCCCTGTTGGTCTCCGTGGCTGGGCTAACCTCACGTCTTCACTCGGGATCTGGATGACTGATTTCTACCCGCACATCCCCCACCTGTTCTTTGGGGTATGGTAGAGAGACCTTGGGTACTGGTCGGGGAGGAGCAGATGGCCACACTCGCTAACCCTAAGAGATTTTTAGACCATCTCATCCTTGGGGAAGTAGCTGGACTGAGCAAGCCGAGCAATGCAGTCAAGGTAAAAGACCTGGTTCAAGGGCCTCTTTGGACTGTTCCTAGCTGTGTGGCTTTGGGGAAATTCTTAACCTCTCTGAGCCTCCATTTCCTTGACTGTAAAGTGAGTTCATTCTTACTTTTCAGGGTCGTTGGGAGGGCTACATGGGTAATACATGAGAATGTGTCTTCAGGACCACAAGTCTCTGGATAAGGCAAAGAGACTAGTACTTCCTGCCAGGCATGTCCCTACACCCCCTCACCCCACAGAGCAGGCCTGTTTCTTGCCCTGCCCTGTTCCTTGGTCTTCACCTCCCCTGCAGGTTTACGACTTTGTTACCCTTTCAAGGTTGCTTTGCGTGTCTTCGTTAGCCTGATTTCACTTGCATAAAACTTTGTGGTGGAGTCTGGGGGTGGAGAGAGGAAGCCATCCCGTGTCAGCTCAGGGGATGAGTGTCCGGCCTCCACCCCTCAGTGGGGCCCAGATGCCAGGGTTCAGGCATGTATTCTGGTGCTTTGAACAGGGTACTCACTGACTGAGTATGGTGTGGACCTGGAGCTGCTGTGATGTGGGCCAAGAAGGATTCGAGAGGAGCCTATGGGGTCCCATAGAACCCCCCCCCCACACACACACACACACTCCACAGCTCCTATAAGCCTCTACCATCATCCTGTTTGTTGAAGACCATGGACCCAAATCCACTCTGCCTTTCCCTGCGGCTGAAGGGGGCAGAGGTTTGGTCCTCTGTGTCTGCTGTTTTATGTCAGCTGCTTTTCCCTGCTTATAATGCACATTCTGAACCTCCACCCCAGTTTGGGCCTGGGCACTGAAGCTAGACTAGGGGAACCCTGGGGAGATCTGGGGGTCCCAGTCTTTTCAGAAGGCAGGTACCCGTCTAAGACCTGCAGGACTATGATGGGATAGGCCTACCCCTGCGCACGTGTGAGCTCGTGGGTTTTGGGTGATCACTGCAAATGAAGCACTAAACCCAGGGCTGGGAGGGCTGCTCAGGGCGCTGTCCACAGGGAGCTTGAATGGAGGAGCTGGGCTGTGGCAAGGCCGAGAGGGAGTCTGATTTCTCTTGGACTGGTCCTAGGTGTTCCACACAGTAAGAAACTAAGAGACCCAGAGGGGCCGGGGCTTTCACTGAATGGCTCTACTCAAGGATGGGGACAGAGAACCCAGAGTCCCAGGCCTGCCTACCCATCACCCAATGAGCCTGCTCGGTGGGACCCAGGTCCTTGCCCTGAGAGGTGGGCTCTTTCAGGAGTTGAGCGTTGCTCAACTCACAGTTTTCTTACTCACTGCTCACCTGTGCTCTCTTGGTTCCCCAGGATGTACCCTCGCCATACCTACAATCTACACCTCGCGCCTATCCACAGTCTACAACCTCACCACACCCGCAATATACACCTTGCGCCTATCCACAGTCTACACCTTTGCCTGAAATGCCCCAGAATAACCTCTGCTTCTAGGAAGGTTTTGTGAACTAGTCAGAGAGGATACGATTTCTCTTCCCTGTCTCATAAAATGCCCTCTCCAGGACTTGCCAGTAACTCCACTTATCCCCTTCCACACCCTCTTGTCCTCGGTGCTATCATTCATCACCTCCTCTGGGCCTGTCCCCTCCTGTCCTTACACCTTTTGAAGGCCCCCACCCACTGTTGGGAATATCCACTCAATACTCCGGAACTCTTTTGTAATTTAACAAGCTCTCAAGAGGCCATTTCTTCTGGGAAGCCTTTAAGAACTAATTGGGTGTATATATGCCACACTTTTTCAATCCATTCATCTGTTCATGGACATTTGGGTTGGTCCCAAAATAATAATAATAAAAAGAACTAATTGAGCGAGAGAGGTCTTTACCCCATCCTGTGGCTGCAGGGTGCCATGACTCCCTCTGAATCTGCTGTACTCCACAGAATGTGCTTCCTGGGGTGCTCAGGGACCTTATCACGACACTTCCACTTACTAGTGGGGTCCAGTCTCCTCTGCTTTACTTAAACTGGGATGCTAGTTGGCCAGCTTGCTCTTCCTCACTCCAGAGGGTCACCACCTCCCTGCTCTTCTGTTCATTTTACTTTGCTTAAAATTCCCTACTTCTAGGAGGGCTAGGGTTTGTCAAAAGATAAGAGCATGCTGATAACTTCCTGGCCCGCCTGTCTGTCCCTAGAGCTGCCTGCTGAGCCTCCCAGCATCTAATCTGTGTCTGCCTGGGCTCTCATGGGTTGTCTTAGTCCCCTTCCTGGCTACTGGTCCTCCCGTGTCCTGTGTCAAGCTCCCCATAGGCAGAGCTTGTCCCGGCCAGGGCTTGCTGGCTGCCCACACAGCAGATTCAAGTTCATCTCTGCTGGCCACACTTGGATCATACCTCCAGATCGATGCCACCTTTCGGTGCAGGAACAGAGCTCTTGAAGGGTCTTCCTAGCCCACGATGTTCTCTTTGGCTTTTGTCAGAGTTGGGCATGACTCAGAGACCCTGTGTGAGAGCATGGAAGGTCGGGGCAACAGGGAGGAACTGGATGAACCAGCTGTCCCCTCCTCAGTGTGTTATCGAGTGGGTTTCTCATCCGGCTGGCAAAGCTGCTGGCTGGCCTGCCCCACCTTCACTCCCATGGGCATCTCCGCCAGAACTCCGTGGAACTCAACTCTCTCCTCGCTAATTCTGTCTACATGCCTCCCTAGGTGGCTTCCCTGGCAGCTTTGTTGTCTCCTGAGGCCACTCTGGATCAGATGCTCTTTCCTCGTCTACACAGCCTGCTCCACTGCCTCCTGTGGGTCTGTTCAAAACCGGCTCCCTGACCCTTCTACTATTTAGTGTTATTTTTATTTATTTATTAAATTTTCTAGAGTGCATGTGCACTTGCCTGAGAGAGAGACAGAGAGAGGGGGAAAGCAAGAAAACCCCTCCCATGGGGCATCGTCAGGCCATAACCCCTTCTTTTCCATCTTTCCCTCTTTAATGGATTCTGGGTACACGTGCACATGTGCCCTGTGTGTTTCTTAAGCCTCTGGCTCTGAGATTTGAACTGTGCATTTGGCCATGTGGGATCCAGCTGCCTTCACCACCATGCCGTGGGCTGGCTCTGACCCTTTTTTATAGAGGTTTCTGCTATAGGGAGCATGTGCTCACCTGAGAGACAGAGGAAGACAGAGAAACAGAAAATGAGAAATCATCCCCCAGAGGGGATGTCCACATTGCAATCCCTTCTCCTCCATTCTCCTCGGGATTTTGGGCATGCATGCACGTGTGCCTGGCATGAGTTTTAAGTCACTGGGACTGAGACTCGAACCTCGGTTGACTATGTGGGAGTCCAGCGACATAATCTTTACACCATGTGCTAATCCCAAGCCCTGACTCTTCTTGTAAAAACGGCAGCCTGGGTTGGCTCCAGGGCTCGGCAGCAGTGAACTGCTGATTATGGCCTGACAATGACCTAGGGAGGTGTTTTTTTGCTTCTCCCCCTCTCTGTCTCTCTGTTCAAGAGCAGGTGGATCCCACACGATGAACATGGTTCAAGTCACCAGT